CAAACAACTTCCACTAGTTAAAGTTAAGTGTTTAAGCAAAGTACTCAAGTATCATAAATTTTAAACGTAAGGGGGTAGACTGACCCCATCTCACTCACCAGGCTTTAGTAAAGGAATGAGCCAGAATTAGATCCATAGCAGCTAGCTAGAGGAGCAGTTAGAGAGCAACGAGATCAAGAGAGCCGTTCGAGGCAAGCCAGGTAGAGGAGGGTAGTACTAGCGTCACTGAAGGTGCTAGAGATCGAATCCGAGCAGACTGTTTTCTAGGTTGTTAGCGACGGTTCAAACCGTCGCTAAAAAATATAACGACGATCATCTAAACGTCGTTGACCTGGCAGTCCTTAAATTTTTTGGCGAAGGTTTTGGTTGACTGTCGCGCTGACCGTCGGCATATTTAGCGACGGCTTAGACCGACATTATCTTCATTATAACCGTCGCTAATTTATGTATTTTAAAATGAATTCAATAGTTTAGCAACAGTTATAACCGTCGCTAAAGGCAACCGCTTGTCGCAAAGCAGCTCCTATAATTGTTTTGAATCACCTGGTCTAAATGACCATACTGATCACCTGATTTGATTTTACATAATCAACATGAAACAAATCCAACTTACAAACTAATCTGACATTGAGTTACCAATTCAACAACTTAAACCACAAATCAACATTCCTTCAATTCCTTATACCATCAAATCAACAATATAAATCGTCAATCAACATTCCTTAAATTCTAAATCTAAGAAGTTTCATGATTGACAGTCAACAATATAAACAAGCTAAGGAACTGGTGTGCAAGAAGTTCATATCACCTAATATGAATAATTGAATAACTAAAAAGAACCAAATTCAGAAGTTTTGCAAAAGCTCAGAGCCTTTTGCAAACCAGCAGCCTCTCTTACAACCCCACCTCAAAATCCATTACTGCAATGAAACAAAGAGAACAAGAAAAACAGAAATCCATCAATAGTTCTCCTTTCTCAAGAACTTGTATACTTCTCACTTCCTCACCAAGTCATGTTAATAAAAAGTGATTTGCAAAATAGGACAGACGACTAAGTTGATCTTAGCTGGATAGAAGTATTGCAATGTAGAAGGTAGGATCAAAGAGACTTACTTGTAGGCTATACCCATCAACTTAATACTCATCTCGACAAATAATTACATCTTTAGCATCACGAGGATCCTCAAACTGTATAATCAAAGAGTCTGCAAGTATGTTAGTTTGAAATTATTCTAACTCAAGAGTAACTGTAATAGAATATTTGTTGTCACTTTCATGTTACCTGCTAAAACAAATTTTCAAACTACCCTGCATGAATATCTAGAGAGATTAACCAATGTAAATATTGCAATATGAATGGCTACTTCTGCTAATTTAGTTGGAAAGAATCAAGCCCACAATTTAGAAAAGAAGTAAGGGCCATCATTTCAATATTAGGAGTCATACAGAAAAATTAACTTACACTCATTTTGTTAGCAAGTACATAGCCCAACAAGATATAAAGAAACAAAAGCAGATAATAGCATAGCTCGAAATCGTAATTAAAGGTCCGAATGGATGCCAAGGCGAGAATGGCTACCTGAGATTTATTCATCTCTTCCAGTTCTTCCTTCATGGCCTCATTGTTGTACTACCTTCACAAACGGGGCCTGTAAGAGTAAGAGGATAAAAATTCAGTCACATAGCTATAACATACATTCTAGAGAGAATAAGAAACCTGGATTCCTGGAAAGTAGTTGAGGTTAGTTAGGGAACACAATACTTGATTAGCAGTAGCAAATTACAGCCTTAACAAGCTACCAAAACACTGCATGATGATTTTTATCCTGAACAGAACCTTAGGAAAGATTCAGATTCACCAAAAATTTAGTAACAGCTCTCTAAATTCACACATTTCTTTAAGTCTAGCTACCAGACATAGTTCCATCATTTTCTCCTCATTACCTACTTTTCCAATTAGGTAATCAAGAATTTATCGTTGACATGCTTGTATTCCCTGCAAAGAAAAGGACAACTATGAGAGCGCTAGACATAATAGGGAGAAAGACATATGCTAATTAGTAGTAGCAATGATTACCACCAGATTAAGAATTATAATTTAGGTCATGCATATTCAGGACAACTATTTGGAGCAAGAATTCCACTGCCATCATTCGATTTTGCAATCCATCGACAGGAACTCAAACTCATAAATGACTAGGTGAATATATCAGCAAAGTTGATCTCAGTTACAAAAGAATTCGGTTCCCACGAGAATCAAATAGTAACTTATGGGTGAAAACTGATTTAAGATTACAATTTTACAAGGAAGAAACAGTGGAAAAATTGTCACTTCGATATAGTAGATTGAGGGGAAGTTCCTAGTAAAGGAAAGGAAATGAGGCAATACGTATCTACCGTTCCTAGTAAAGTCCCCAGAGTAATATACTCTTACTTGGTACAGTAGCCTGTCAGGTTCCTTTCTTTGCTGTCTACAGAGGCCAATAACATCAGGTGTCTCCGCACCACTTGGTGTTGTATGAAAGAAAAGAGAGGATTAATATAGAAACCCAAATTATCAAACTTAACAAGACCAGATAGAGAGCCTGACTGAAATCAAAGTTCAAAAACATAATGTAACTTGATACCTTGAAATACTCTGAATCGACTATATGCTACCCTCACATTCCTTTCTTTGCTGTCTACATAGGCCAAAATTACCCATGGAGGAAGTTGCGCCGTAGCCACTGGTGAAGGCACAAGAGATGATGGAGGCCTGCGGAAGAAAAATCACTACTCAGATACCCATAAACTAGCTCATAGTGGAAGTCTTACAAGCGCAAGGTCTTAACTTACCTACAGATCATGTCTAAGACTTCTGAGAAATGGGAAGAATCAGGGAATGGTCTGAAATCAACATGTTAATAGGTATACCACGATAAAAAAGAACATTGTTTAACATTGTATTCTCACACTCTTCACACTCATTGAATCACATCTCTTCAAGCTAACCTTTCCATTTGTCATCCGCGAAATTACTTCTATGGTTACATAACATCAATCCAAGACTACATTATCACCAATATAAGCTGTGAAATGAGACAATATTATATCAAACGGTCACCTGTTCATGGCCTAAAACATCCTAAATGTATAGATATGCAGAAGATACGCCAATTCTTGTTAGCTTTACGAGTGCACGAGATGCTCAAGTGCAGGAAGTGTTGGCCTTAACCTGCCAGATGAACTTCTAAAAGTTGCAAAACTAGCTAAAGAATTTCGTGGAAACATAAAAGCCCTAAGTACTGCATTGAAGCTCTAGACTAACTTGGTCTAAAGAGGCTGAGGCTTTCCCCTGCATAAGTTTGATAATGTCCAAGTGGCATTCCTCAGCATGGAAATCTTAGCATGTTCATTCAATTGAGCGAGAAGTAGGAACAATGCTGCATGAGTCAGAACAAGGTCATGACATTTTTGGGAATTACTAGCAATGTTTCCCAAGGCCCACACAGTCTACATCTAAATGCATAAAATGGAGTGCTGGAAATCATGAACTAACATACCTGAAGCTGAGGAAAGTCATCCCAAAAAGGGATGACACTATTAAAGATAAACCCAAAGGGAAACACTCATCAACAAGTCTTCTCTCCTTTCATTTTCACCAAAAACATAGATTTATTTCCTATATGTCTCAGTCTATCAATATATAGTGATACAGAAGATAATATATAAGGCATTCAAAGATAACAAGAACAAAACAAGAGGACAGGGGACACAGGAAACATATACTGCAGCACCAATACTTTTGTATACCACTAAGATCTTCCCAATTTTTTCATTCATTCATCCTACTAAAAGCGGAAAAGAGAGAGTGAAATGAATGTAGTAACTTACAACTTCAAGCATTTTAATATTTGGCAGTTGCAATTCTTGATGTGTACAAATTTGAGCCCGCATTAGTGACAATCTACCAGCAATGGAGCCTGACTTTATCTACCTAATTCAAAACAATCAACCTTCATTTTAGGTTCTCTTGGACATTTCAACAAGCACCAACCAGACACTAAATAAACATCTGATTCCACCCACTTGCAATGACAATAGATTAGACACGCAATCAATCAAGGGAACAAAACATATGAATTCGTCAAGGAAGGAAACAACAGTTAAGATGCGACTGATGATTGAAAACTTAGGGTTTGATAAAACCCCAATGGAGAGAACCAACTCAATCGAAAGCATCCAAAAAAAACTTATCTGTTCAGATCTTAGTGGACAGTGGTTGTAATTCAGATCTCCGCGACCGAGAGCGATGGCAGTCCAATTATCCGTGCCTCATCTTCCATCCCTTCTGCTGCGATTCAAAATTTGGCGTCAAGACGGAGAGATTCAGCTTCTCCTCGATCACTCTTGCTGGAAAATCTGAAAGGCCTCAAGAGTCTTCGTTGTCAAATACAGAAAAGCTAGTTAATCTAGAGATTTCGATCAACGAAGAAGAAAGGTCGCAACTCTGGGATTAAAGTGACAATGGAGGAAGCCATGTTTGAAGGAGGCTTCAATCCTTAACTTCTTGTTCTCTCTCGATATTTCTCCTTGTTTATTTATTGATAGAATATAGAAAAGGGCTAATACCACTACAACTCCCGAACTATCAAAAAAATATCACTTGTGTCCTATTTTATTCAATATTCCAATTCTATCTCATCGTATGAAATTTTGTGTCATTTTTGTCCTGTCAATTTCGTTGACCGTTAAATATAACGTTTGACCAAACGGTTGTCAAAGTAATTTTGACTTTTAGTGACGTGGCAAACAATGTGGCATCCACCTAGATGCCACGCCATTGCCACATAATTTTTAATACAAAATAAATTAAAAATACCATACAGAAAAAATTAAAGGACATCTTCACCGTCTGTTCATTCCCCTCCACCAGCAATTTAATCGCCACCACCCCTTGAGTGCACTGTTACTCCGTCCAGCTAAAAGCCTCCGTCCAGGGATCCCATTCTTTGCTTCAATCACCATTCCCCTCTCCCTCTCATCTCATCAATCACCATTCCCCACTTTTTTCCCAAAGGACAAAGAGAGGAAGTGAATGGCACATATACATACCCAGAGGAGACAAACACAAAGAGCTTGCCACGGCTGGAGAAGAGGATGAGAGCGACCTCGGCGTCACAAAGAACAAAAAGCTCAGAGCCCTTCTTCAACAACCCATTCCTTCGCTTTGAGAAATTTAGTTGTCGATTCACCTTGTTCTTTATCCTCTCGCTGTTGGGGTGTTGTAGCGGTAGGGTGGGCGAGGTCGGGAGAGAGAGGAAATATGTTGGCCATCTCTTTCTCTGAATCCAAACCAATCCTCTGGCTTCGTTGATAGTTGGGAGTCCCTTATCCTCCTAAGCCTTTCTCGAAAAAGAAAATAGAGGGCATATCTTACTTTCCAGGCGATGGAGCTCTAGATTGCATATCTCGGCACTCTGTCGGTTGAGAGCTCTGGATTTCAGATTCACCCTCATTTGCCTTCTCCGAGCGATGATTCTTCGCTGCCGCCGATGGGTCAACTTCTAGGTTGGGCGTTGTGGAGGTGCGAGAAGGGCAAAATCGGGTATAGGGGTTTGGGAAGGAAAAATTGAGTAGGGAGGAGAGGAGATGGTGACGGCGAAAACAGATCTTGCAGTTGGCCACCTTCCAGGTTTACTTTTCGACGACCCATCTAGGTCGGCGAGATTACCGAAGCAACCATACCCTTGTCGAGAAGAGGGACAGTCGCCACCTACGAATTCCTTCCTCTGCTCCCTATCCAGAATCGATAGAGAAAATTCCGCCCCGCCACGATGAGGTTTTCGAATTTACAGATTCAGGGGATTGGGTTCATTTGTTCTTTTTTTTTTTTTTTGTTAGATCTGTATAAATTAATTAAATTTTTTTAACAAAATTTGTAAATAATTAAAAATTCTAGGTCATGTGACAAGTCAGCGGTCAATGTGTTGACCGTTAACTACTAACAATCAAAGTTAACGGAAAAATAGTTCGGGATACAAATGGAATATTGAATAAAATAGGACACAAGTGGCATTTCTTTGATAGTTCGGGTGTTGTAGTGGTATTAGACCTAAAGAAAAAAAAACAAAAAAACTAATTTTATCTTTTCAGTTTTAGTTTTATAAAGTAAAAAAGTAAGAGGACAAAACTACTAAAGACAAAACTAGACTCTTACCAGGCAATCCAAAGTGAAATAATTAATACATTTCCCGACGTTCGCCAAATCCCATCAATTTTGCCGATGGAACCATTATTTAACGCCGGTCATGCGCGACTGTCGTTAAGGGACCGTCGTTATTACTTGAATTTCTTGTAGTGAGAGTTTTATGTTTGAGGTTTGCCCAAGTGTTAGAGCTTTGTTTTAAGAGATGTCAGCTTAATTTTAATATGATTAAAGTTATTTATGAAAGGTTTCTGTTATTTTTTCCAAGATTTTTTTTTAAGTTTAAATTTTCATTCACGCTTTATCAAGTGATTTTGGTAAAAAGTAGTGTCCGGCTGGACAAGGGTGTTACATTTTGGTATATGTGATATCCTAGCCAAGGCAACCGCTATCAAATGCAAGGTGTCTTAGTCCAAACGGCGAGTACACCTCCGTCTAAATTTCAGAGACGAAATTTTTATAAGGGTGGAGGAAATGTGACACCCCAACTGTTGGTTTTGGGTTCGACTGACAATAAATGTACGGATTTGATAGAAGGTTACATACGCAATCGTAAATCAAACTAGACCCGATAGTAAGTAATACAAAATTGGGAGATAAGAGTGCAATTGATTAGTGATGAAAATCATACGGCCCAAATTAGTCTATTCACATGTGAGCAGATCCACAAAAATCAATGGACTATTTATATTTATTCTTTTTTGGGGCTATGCAAGGACGTGATTTTCTTATGATTATGTGAATGGTTTGTTGAGAGTAAAAGGATGGGCCAAAGAGCGAGGGGGCATATAATGGTCTTGACATGAGAATGAGGGAATTGGTCGAATGCAAGGAAGTAGAAGACGATATCTATACGGAGGGTTTATTAGAAGGAGCTAGCTAGGGATTAGGGCATATATAAGCAAGATTAGAGTCTCTATCAGTGGCGGCCGCTACATATAAGTCAAGAGAACGAATGGAAATATATAGAGAGAGAGACAAAAGGCGGGCATTTGTTCTGATGGGGATGATTAACGGATGATGTGAGCGGAGCCGGCAGCCGTTCTCCACGCGTGAGCAACGTGAGTCGAGGTTGATGCTAAGGCTGAGCGATGACTGAAGAGGCGACCCGAGTGGAAAATCTTAACATCGGTGCTGGGCTCATTGGTTTGTTCTCAAATGGGGTGAATAAGTTTAATGGGTTACTAAATCCAAGGATGAGAGATGGACTACGTTGATATGCATGTAAATTCATAAGTGGGTGGAATTTTATGCACACCTCATGTCTTCCCATCCAATGGGTAGTGTCACGGCCTTACTCTTGGTCGTGCGGCCCTAACTCTCAATTCCGTTAGAGAAGCTAGGCAGCCTTCTCACAAGCTCTCAAACTCACTCAACTCACAAGAACAAGACACAAGAAGATGAGAGAACTCTATAGTTGTATTGCTCACAAAAATGATGGATGAGTTACAAGTGAGGGAGATGGCTCCTTATATAGGCCTCTCCTCATACAAGGCATCAATGCCCCTCATAATGTCCCTCTACTACATCAATACACCCAATAAAGTCCCCCCATAATGCACTCTATTAATACTACCATAATGTAGCCCATAAGTGCACCATTAAGCTCTCATTTAGGTGGAGAATCCTAGGAGCATCTCTATGCTACTAGTCTTCCATACATGCCACATGTGCAGCCGCCTTGTTGTCACCTTGTTGGCGCCATGTCATCGGCCACATGTGACATCCTCCCCCACCTATGCTCGCGACGCCCTCGTCGCGTCCTTGCTACGAAATGCCTCCATCGACCTCGAGCAGCCTCTCTCGACTCTTGAGCCTCGTTGGTGACATTCTCCTCCACTCAATCCACGACGCCCTCGTCGTGGCTCTTTGGCAGATGCCTCCCTTGCCTTAGCTTCATTGCTTGCAAGGTCTCGTTGCACCTTCCTCCAAACCAAGGATGGCCCTGGCTCGCTCTCGAGCCTTGTGCTCCCATGATGTTGCGCACTCCTCCGCGGCCTTCTCCGTCGCGTCTTCGAGTGTCCCGCCTTCTCGATCATGGTGGCCTTTCCTTGCTTCTCTTGGCAAGTCGAAGATAATCCATCCTCGTCTTTCATGGCTCCACGATGTTGTGCACTCCTCCTCGTCCTTCTCCAACGAGTCTTCGAGTGAGCCGCTACCTCCACCATTGTTGCCACTTCTCGCTGCTTTTGCCTTGCCAAACACCTCTTGTTTGACTCGAGTTGCTCTCTTGTCATGGGAACCGATCTTGCTCCTCCATTGATGCAGAATCTATTGGCGTATGGGATCGGGAAAGCTTTCTCCCGCACCATGAACTCCATGCCGACGATGACCCGATAATCATCCAACGACACAACCTCAAAGTCCGCCACCCCGGTCCATCCTCCTAGCTTGAGTGGCACCTGGCGCGCTACTCCATGAGTTCTTGTGGCCCTTGAGTTGGTAGCCTTCATCCACCCTCTTCGCTTCTTCTCGTACGTGATGCCCAGCCTCCGCGCTTCATCTACGTCGAGAAGGTTGCAGCTTGCCCCGGTATCAACCAAGGCTTTTGTCTTCCTTTGGTTGAGCTTTGCCTCTACGAAGCATTGACCGTGTTGCTCAGGATGGGGAGGCTCTTCCGTCCGCTTGATGGCGCTCAATCTCTTCATGCAACCAATCTTCGCGACATGGGGCTCCACTCTTGGAGTCGCCTCCTCTTCCTCTTCCGAGCTCGAGCACTCTGCTAGTACGGCCTTCATTGCCGACAACTTGTGCTTTCTTGGGCAATCTCTCACACGATGCGGACCATCACAAAGGAAGCAAGTAAGTGGTTTCTCAACCTTATGACTACCTCCTTGGTCCAGTCTACCACGCCTTCGTGTGTCTCTGTCATCGTCGCGTCCACCTCCATTGCCTCCGAACTCCACACGTTCCTCCGGCTCGTGGTACTCGACTAGGGACTCGGCAATCGCCATTGCCTCGGCAAGACTTTGCACGCCTCGCCGCTGTAGCTCCAACTTCGCCCATGGTTGGAGGCCGTCAAGGAAGGTGAACATGGCCTCCTTGTCGGTGTAGTCGGGGATCTCGAGCAACAATTCAGAAAACTCCTTCACATACCCTCGAATCTCTCCTTCGTGAGCAAGCCTCCTTAGTCTCGACCGGGCTTCAAACTCAACATTCTCTGGGTAGAACTGCCTCTTGATCTCCCTCTTGAAGTCATCCCATGACTCCATCACGCACGTCCCTTTACTGATATCGCCTTGGGTCCTTCTCCACCACAGCATGGCAACATCACTCAAGTAAAGAGGTGCAGTTTTTACCTTGGTATTCTCATCTCGAATACCCGAAGCTTCGAAGTATTGCTCCAAGCTCCATAGGAAGTTCTCTAACTCCCTTGCATTCCTCGACCCTTGAAAGCTTTTTGGTCTTGGAATCTCCATGGTTGAGGCAGGTTGTGCGATGGCAGGTCCGTTAGCCATGGCCCTCTTCACAAGCGTCACTTCGCTTTTGAGCTCCGCAACCTCCTCCTTCAAGACGGTCACCTCCGCAGCAGCCGCCTCCTTCACTAGCTCAATGGCATCGTTCATGGCGGTGGAGATGGTGTTTTTGATGAGGGCCATGAGCTCATCTCGAAGCCCTTCATTGCCAACCTCCAAACTCGTCACTCTAGCCGCCACACCTTGAACATCGCCTTGGATTTGGGTGAAGTTAGCTCCCAAATCCTCCATGACGGTGACATCTTCGGAAAGCTTCACCTCCACCCTCGAGACTCGCCTCTCTAGAGACTTGAGAGGATCACGAGTGCTCGACGTACCTTTTGGCCTTCCGCCCGGAGTAGGATCTCTTCCACGATGCTTCTCCGCATCGTCATGGACTTCTGATCCAGCCATCTTTGGTGAGGCTCTCCCTCTTTCTTATCTTCCTTCTTGGGGAGTGAGGACACCGGTTCTTCTTTCAGAACCAGGCTCTGATACCAACTGTCACGGCCTTACTCTTGGTCGTGCGGCCCTAACTCTCAATTCCGTTAGAGAAGCTAGACAGCCTTCTCACAAGCTCTCAAACTCACTCAACTCACAAGAACAAGAC